TACATTTGTACTGTGAAGTTATTACAACCTGGCATTTTTTGCTTTGGAAAAAATTGCAACAAAGCAGTTTCGTTTACTGTGTTATGCTTTCTAAAATGTATTTCCACTTTTATATCTTATAAGTAACAACTACTCCAAACTACCGTAAAAAAGCTGCCATAAAACCTGACCATAAAAGGAAACTGTTGCGAATAAACACGTGGCTGTCAACAGTAACTGTAATTGTGCAGAATATCTATGACTTATGCCAGTTATCGTTTCTCTTAAAATGTATATATGTATATGTATACATATATGTTTCTGTTTTCGATGTCACGGCTAAAACGTTTGCGTCAATTAGAAAATATCAATATGCTATCATCGAAGCGTCATAAACATCAGTCCGAATCATCTACAACATCAGATTTATCAGATACTGCAGAAAATGAATTGCCGGGCATTATTTCAAAAACTACTAGTGCTGTAGAGCAGGTACCTTTAATAATTGTTTTTCAAGAGTTTCCTGTAGTAAATATATTTGTGTATAAAATGAAATTTTAGGTTAAATCAAAATGGACAAATCGTGAACGTGTGCTGGTATTCTGCTCTCGTGGCGCTTCTTATCGTACTCGTCATCTCATGAAAGATTTCCGAAACTTGATGCCTAATAGCAAAGCAGACAATAAAATGGATTCCAAAAAAAGTTTGGTTTTAATCAATGAAATAGCGGAAATGGCAAATTGTACCAAATGTCTGTATTTCGAAAGTAGGAAACGCACCGTAAGTGGATAAGATTCTACACATCATTTTATCTCAGTAAATCCACTTGCACTTAATATTTTCAAATATTAGCCACTAAAATTTTTTTAAAGTCATTAAATATAGAAATAGTTTAGAAGTTATGAGTTATTGACGTGATAAAACTTACAATTATTTGAAGTCTCTTTAATTTTATATGATTTTCAAATATTAGAATCTTCCTGCAAGCGTTTATAAATTTCCATTATAACGAAATTTGGCAAAATTTCTGTTGATTTAAAAATAATTGGACTTCGTCTCTATTTTCAGGATTTATATTTGTGGTTATCAAATATCACACACGGTCCGTCAGTGAAATTTCTAGTGCATAATATTCATACAATGGATGAACTGCGTTTGTCTGGCAACTGTTTGAAGGGATCACGACCGGTGCTTTCTTTTGATTCAAGTTTCGACAGTCAGCCATGTTTCGCACTTATCAAAGAACTTCTTAAACAAGTAATTTAACATTTTTCATTCTTTTAAAGCCTCATTTTCCCTCCAAATGTGTTGCAGTTGATTAGATATTAATTGTATGCTTAATACCTTAGTACTACTGCACTTTCAGACATTCAGTACACCATATCAGCACCCGAGAAGCAAACCGTTTATTGACCATGTTCTTACTTTTTCTTTAACTTTGGATAATAAAATATGGTTCCGAAATTTCCAAATTGTAGATGAAACGCTTGAGCTTCAAGAAATTGGTTAGCACTTGACTTAGCATTTTTTCAACATCTATTTTGTTCATTAAAGCATAATTAAGCATATATTTCAGGACCTCGTATGGTGCTTGAAATCATTCGTGTTTTTGATGGATCGTTTGAAGGTTCTGTTTTGTATGACAATCCGCATTTCGTGAGTCCTAATAAGATTCGTAGCGAAATTAAGAAGAATCAGTCAAATAAATATATGATGAAGAAGTTGGCCGAAAAGGTAATTTACTGCACTTGGTAACATTTTGTTTCTTTGAGATAGTGTAAAAATAAGCTTTTAATTTTTTACATTTTTAGTGCCGTAGCATAAAATTAGCCGAACAAGCAGCAGTGAAATTACCCGATCCTGTAGGAGAAATCTTTGATACAGAACGGACTTTTGCTAATCCTCAAACCAAGAAAATCAAACGAATCATAGAAAAAAAAAGAAGACCAAAGAAAAAAAAGATAAAGGAAAGTGAAAATGCCAGCAAAACCTAAACTAGTATTTTTGTTCTTTGTTGATGTTGCTCATTGTTGTTCACGGAAAATATCTTTACTATTGCATGCTAAATTTTTAAAATGAACAGTAAGACTCAATTTCAGTTGCAACACTTCAGTACCAGAAAAAAATTGAAGGAGGTCAGAGATCTCAGAACTAATTGTTTTAGATGTTTCATATCACTAGTCTACATTTTTATCATAAATACTACACACTGTAAGTGAGAACAATGATTTATAAATTCAGAAACTATAAATGAGAAATCTTAACGACATCAAGCAATGATACATTTTATAGAAGTGTGGATGGCAGGAAAGACTATCTTTTATTTTTTTTTTTTGAAAAAGCTTTGAATATTCAAGTAGATATAAGTGAAACAGCACAGAAATTTTTTGGTAAAGTTAAGAACATCATAACTATGCGTTGTTCGCAACAGTCGCAGTGCATACCATGATGTGTGTATGCCGTATTCTACCCTTTAATAACAGGAACAATGTGCACAACAGAAAGAATTGCTATAGTCAAGAAGGTGAATCATCACGATCAATACAGTGAAAAAATATATATATGAAAGTAATAGCAGAAAGTACCAATAGAACTTTGAACGAGAATATAAGTTTTAGGCCAAAATTATAGCTATTTTCTTCAATAGAACTAGATAAAACAGCTATTCTTTACTTTTCTTGCCTGTACTATCAGTACTTGTTTTTCGTTTTTCCTGACCACTGATGCAGTAATTTACAATTTTTCGAGTTTCACCTTCTGGATGAGCATGTTTATGTTCATGTTGCTCAGCCTGAACAAAAAGTCATTCACAAGCAATCACTAAAATAACTTATATCTATACTTATATGTGCCTATGGTTATTATATATAATCATTAAAATAATGATTATGACGATGCACGAAACTTGAATTGTAAGTTGACGAGATTTATAATGATGTACTCAAACGATAAGAAACAGTAAGTAATGGGAATATCTGAAAATAAAAACTGCCTTACCTTACTTCTTTTACTGCTGGCTTTGCCAATTTTATTTATATCTGCTTCACCTCTTTCATACTCATCTGCAAGCTCTTCAGCGTTTGACATAATCTGATTACTTGATACTGCAAGCATACAATAAAGTAAAAATAGCTAAACAAACTTACGTGATCAAAATTTAGGCTACAGATAGAATTAAAACAGCCAACTAAAAGCAGTTAGGTCAGGAAACTAAGTGTTGATGCCACTTGGTTGATCGAATTCCAATTTCCTACTGCATGAAACCACTACAAAGTACAATGGAAAAATATGCTACGTAAATCACAGAAGCATCACTTACATCTATGCAATTATAATCTTTGTAAAACTGCATGATTTAAATGATATATCTAAGAAAATTCACTATGCACTTGTAATCAACAGAGTAGTATGAACAATTCAAACGGGAAACATGCCAGTAATTATTACGACACATTTATGCACAATTTTTAATACAGCACAAATATTACAAAAATATATTAACTTAGTGACCCCAAATTTAATTTCTGAAATCTTTTTGTCATTCAATCAGGTAAATACAATGTCATTTTAGACTTATCGCACACTCACTCGCCAATTATGACATGCTTGGATTTGTGCAAAAAACTAAATTTGGCTTGATAACTTGACTGATTTGATATTTTGAGCAAAGTTTTCGGACAACAAAAGCTGAGAAGATTGTGAAGTCTACTGCAAAAGATCCCCCACATGCCTTAATAAATGACACTCACGGAATGAGACGTAAATCTGAACAGCACTGATTGCCTTTGCAACCAAATTCAATAATTTACACGTATAGTAAGAATGCTACCAATACTCAATACAGAGAAAAAGTATTACTTTCTTGGATAAAAAGTGTTAAGAAATACGAGGACATGTAATCAGTACAAAGAGATCTTTTCAATCGAAAAGTATACTGGGAAGATAATCAAACTTCTTCAACAAGCTAATTTCTATCAAAAATGATAGTATGGTATTTTCTGAAATTGGCAACAATTAATTACAGTTAAAGCCAAATATTCAAATTAAATCTTCAAACAGAATAAGATTTGCCCGCAGGCTTAGGATAACTGAATTCAGAATCGAAACTTCAACTCAATATAATTGAGCAAACATTTTTCGTTACTAATTACCCACTGCCTTCTTGAAGCTCAGCTTCTTACATGATTCATATGACTACACTTTCTATATACATCTGTCTATCCATCAGTGTATCCATCTATCTATTTATCTATCCATCTATCTACATATCTATAGATATGTAAACTGAAAGCAAGTATAAGAAATATTGATAACGAAAAAGTACGAATGCAGAACCATTCTGTTACAGGAAATTAGAATTTGTCATTAGTCATCCTATCTGTACAAGTACAGTAATTCATTGCACAGAAATAATTAATTCTACAGTGAAACAGAAAACAGACAAAGAGATTGGACAGATAATCTAGCCATTGTTTATGTTTGTCAATCGCACCTGCCTCGAGCAATAGCAATCAGTCATCAGCACTGTACAGTTAACCTTTCAGGCGTTCCAGTCTAAATATTTTTGCATATCTCCTCTGTTACACGATGGACTGTATTTTTCCAATTACAGTAATGTGATTTACATTACTATTAGCTTAATTATGTCTACTGCAAGCAAGCATTCTTATGCTTGTAGTGTGAAGGAAAAGATTCATACTTGAAAAATCAGAATTATCAGTACGATAGAGATTTATTTCAAGCAGTAACACAAGTATATCGTCAAAGGCAACTAACGCTGATCAATTAGTTTTGCTTGTATGAAATGGGAAAGACAATTTGCGTAGAAGCAATCCTAGACTCAGAATACTTTTATTGCATGAAATAGATTTGAAATCGAAACAGAATCACAAAGTAGCAACAACTGGTCGCTTTTTGGTTTGTTGACGTACAGAAAGAAAGAATTGTAGAAGTGGGTGCAACAAGAATTGAAGAAGCCGGGTAAGGTTTCTATTTACTTTATCTCGTTGAAATTTATGTTTTAATTCTTCTGAAAATAACTGATTACTTTTAGGGATTTGCACAAAAGTGATTCAATACTACTGAACCAGTGTGGCTTATTTTAATGGTGGAAATGTAGACAAGACTTATTTGTGTCTTGCCCACAGTTTTTAACCATGTTTCAATAGTATGGATTAAATGATGAAAATTTTTAGAATATCAACACTGACGTGACTCAACGTGACATTTGTTGATTACTACTTCTATCAAATATTGATTAGAATGAGAGATATATAAAAATGAATACCGTTTCTTAATAGCTTCGGTAAATTAACCATTTTTAGTATTTTTTCTTGTCATTTGTCATATTAGTAATCGCATTTCAGCTATAATTCATCTAACTTTTGGGTTTCTGTTTGTTCATTTCATTTGTCATTCACTTGTAGTGCTCGTCGTTCACATGTTCACATGATGATATGCCATTTCTTTACCTTGGTATTTTCCAGCTAATAATTCTTGTTACAAGTGAAGCAGATATTCCATTTTAATTCATATTTCTACAAACGATGCCACTGGACAAGTCAGAAAAGTAAAATTTCATTGTTTTGCATAATTTCATATAATGATTGCAAAATGTTCTATGAAATATCCTTATAAGTATTTTGGTAAATCTCCTTCCTTTTTCAGTATTGTTAGTGCGCATACTAAAGAAAACGCTGCTGAAACTTCGCAAAGACGTGGTAGTTTGACTTCAAATACCGAAAACAGTGCTAATGAGAGCTATAGAAATCTTGAAATCAGACCAAATGAAACAGTAAATTGCTTATCATGACACTTTTTTTCTCTTCGTTGTATCATATATTCTGTTCTTGTTAATTATTTTTTGCATTCCTAATATGTTATCATACTGCGAAGATCCATCTTTTAAAAATTAGTACGCATACACAACATTTTTATTGTTAATGCATGAGCTACAAAGCATGCATTTGTCTTCACTATATTGCTTGAAGATTATTTTTTGGATTGCTTTTTAAACTATATTATCTCATTTATAGTGTAATCGAGTGCTTAAAATACCAAACTGTTATAAACCCCTTACAAATTTGCTTGCAATTTTCATTGTTACATATAACAAATTTTAAGGCTTCAGTAACTGGAACTGATGACAAATCTTTACAAGAAGTTAAAACAAGTAAAAATGGTGAGTGTTTATTAGTCATTCATGATTTGGAACGTTTTAGTTTTTTAGCTAACATAGTGGTATTGATAGCTTTTAATATGATGTAATATGAGCTGAACTATATTTTTTAATTGACAGAACTTTTAATTTTTTTAAAATCATTAGATGTTATAGATCAAAAGAATGAACAACTGAATCGTATGATAGATGTTGTTGTAGCATACAGTAGAGTGAGCACTGAAACTAAAGAACGTTTAAGAAATGCTGTAACAGATGTCTATTGTAAATTAATGTCTGAAGAGGTACTTTAAATAACCTTCTAATTTCAGCATTGTCTTATAGTTGAGGCTTGCTTATATAGATAATTGAAAAGCAATCATGAAATTTATTTTTCAAATTCAAGCATATTTTATATTTTCGTTAATATCTCATTTGCAGTTTTCTAACGAAGGTAATTTCTAGGAAGCTTGTAGGCACTACCAACTTGCTGTTTCATATTTTCGAACATATTACACTATGGTTGAAAAGTTGTTGAATCGCATTAACATAATTAAAGAAGATCCAGAAAAAACAAGTGGTCGGAAGACCACTTCTATAAGAAACGAATCTGGAATTAAAAAATTAAAGAACGAAGAGACAGAGAACTCCTATCAAGCAGGCAGTATGTTTTGTCGGCTGTGAGAGACATGAGCATAGTAAATGATAAATTTGTTAAAGCTGGATTAGAGCATTTTATCTAAAAATTTTGGTTGTGCTGAATAATTATGATGCAATTAAAAAAGTTACTGTTTAAAATAGCGATTGATACGATTATAAATCTGCTTCCTTTGATTTTTGCTAATATTTTCAGGTGGTGATACAAATACTGATAAGAAGCATGATCAAAAAAAAAGAAATAACGGATGGAGTGATCTGACACATAGTATATCCAAGATAGATAAAATGAGTGTTGAAAAATGCATTGATGACATCTGTGGTTCGGTCCGACATTTGACAAAAAAGCGTGCTATTGAAAGTGCGGTCAAGATGTAAGTCCTTTGAAGTTTTGCTGAAATTATATTTTATGTGTAGATGTCATCATATTCCATTCATGTATAGGTTATATACAGGGTACTGTTTGATGGTTATTCGGGAACCGAAGCAGCAAGAATTAATTGCTTAACTCCTCGGACAGTAATCAGAAATGTTTATGCTGTGCACGACGCTTTGAACTTGTCTGTACTTCAGCGATCAAAGCAACAAACAACTCAGAAAGGTGAAATAACTGAAGTTAAAGAATTTTTGTCACCATCAAATTTATGATTGATAAAAAAACTTTATAAAAGTAATATATTCTCACGCAGTATCATGATCTTCATCTTGTTTCATGTGTCAGAAATATTCATCATCTCAGTTCTTTAAAGTTAGATTGCTTTTATAATGAAGGGCGTTAAACTGTTGTATTGTTCGTAAAAATTCTTTTTTCTCCAGATAAAAAAATTTCAACGTGCAATACGGATTTGGAGACAGCACAGTTGTTATTAGACGAAAAATTTGGTCATATTGGAGTTGATGATTTTACTGGATCTGTCTCAAATTTAAAATCAAAAATCGATAAAGTACATTTTAGAGTCAAAATATATTTTTATTTAATTTCCATTTCAACTTTTCATTATCTAAGTCAATACCTTAACTTTATCTTATAGTTGCTTCAAGAATTCAAATGCAGTTGTGATGTTCGTGAAGTTCGTGCATCGCTTGTGAAATTGTTTATGAATCAGAAGGATTTTTCGGAAACAGAAGGAAATATGGAGCAGTGCCTGGCAATTGTCAATTCTTATGCTCGTTTGCTCAAAGGGTTCTTTTTAATAGAAAGCATGGTATCATTTTAGTGCGTTTTATAATGTTTATCAGTTAGTAAATTTCTTATAGAGCTGAAATTACTTTTCGAAGTTTTGTGGAAATCTTATACATGATTCTTATGTACTGATTAACACTTATTTTATGTTTAGATGCATTTTTGCCTCGAAAATTTGTATCTGTATTGTAGTTTTGAATATTCAGTAGTTGTTTGAATAGTATTCTATGAATTGAAAATTTTATATTTTAGTGTAAAAAGTATTTCGCTCATGGATATATTGTAGTCATTTGTTCCTAGATCAAGATCAGCGGACAAGATTCGTTTTGTCGATCTGGTAATAAAAAAAGAAAGATGAATGATGGTGAGAAGAATGAAGGATGCTCCAAATTCTCTACATCCGATGAAACTACTCCTGCCAAAGTTGGTTCTTTTTGCCATAATTGGCTTTTATTTGTGTTAACGAGAAATCTCCAAATTATTCAATTATTGTGTGTTATTAACAAACCCTTTCTGTTGGAAATATTCTTCTTTGCTCGAATTATATATTTAGTTTATTCATTTGTTCATTGGTCTGTTTATTTTATCTATTTATTTATTTGTTCGTTTATTTATCTATTCATTTATTTGTTTATTTTGTTCTTTTTTTCATTCTTTGTTCCTTTGTTATTCATTTTAGAAGAACCGAGAGTCTGGTAATGTTTTGGATCCTCGAGGAATGTTTGTTGGTATGACTGATGTACTGGCTCTGCATCTAGAAAATGGTTTTAAAGATGAAGAAAAACTCATAAAAAGTGTCATTTCCTATCTTATTGGTCATCAGTATCGTCGTTCTTATGAAGCACAAACAGTTCGTTAATTATATTTAATATTCTACCAGTATGTTTCAATCTATTGTGTCCATATGTTAATATACAAACTATTATCTAGGTTATACTCCGCCAAAAATATATTTTATTATATTGCAGAATATGCAAATTTGTTTGGAATACGTTCTTCTAGATGGATTGTCTGTTGCAGAAACATTGGAAATTCATGACGGACCTAGCGAAAATATATTGGAAGTGTGCAAATTTGAATATAAATCATATTTATCATTTGTTTTAATTACCTTCTTGACATTTTTTAGAAGAAGTGGGTGTCAAAAAGAATGATTAGTGAAATTTTAATTTTTTTAAGAATTCAACGATGTGCAGAAACTGCATTGAAAAAAACATAGTTTTTGTTCGTATTTTTTTTGCTTCCATTTTATGGGAAGTTTAGTAATTGTTGTTGTTCACACAAATGTTCTATAATGATGTAAGTAATTTCTTAACCAGTGAACACAGCACTCTATTTTTATATATTTTTGAAACATTGGAAAAGGGAAGCAGTGAATTGATAAAAATTTTTTGACAGTTTTAGATATATCAAAAACGGTGTCGTGATGCACTTACTGCTTTGACAGTGGATTTTCCCGCATTCGTCGCTACTCTGAACACACTTAATGGTTAAGATCATTACTTGTTTTAAAATCATGTTTTTGAAATAAAAGTGTTTATAGAGTTTGTTCGTAAAGGAGCTTTGTTTCTACAATGTTTACTGTTTTGGTCGCACTGCTTATTAAATTTACGAAAAGCTGTAAAGTTATCAGCAAACTGGGAAAACCTCAGTTCCAAATCAACTGATAAGGCTGATCGAAAACAACATTTAGACTTATGAACCGTCATATGCATTGGTTATTTATGTCGATATTGAGCGTAAATTCTTTTTTTCATCACTTATGAAAAGTCTTATAGAGAAAGAAAAAAATGTTGTTCGAAAGAAGCGATCGCGATTGTTGGATGCTAAATTTGAAGAGACGGTAAGTTTTGCTCTCAAAGTTGCATTTCCTTTGTATTACATTTTGTTATTACTCACAATCATTATTTACTAGCAAAACAGCTTTAACAATTAATCGTCTCTAAAGATATCATTCACCACATGTTTTTAGAAGAATGTAAAGGCAGAATGTATCGAAGTGTTCGAGTGTCGTACCGTTGAAGATTTATTAATTCATGTACCAGAGAAAGTGAAGATGACCTTACACCTTTACATAATGTTAGTTTGTCGTGTTTGGTTCCCTCAAGATAATCTAAATCTTGAAATATAAAGTGGTATTATTTTTTAGACTGGCATTAAATTAGACCCTTCTGCATTATTTAAGTTGTTGTTCCGGATTGAAAGAATTCTAAAGATTAGGCACAAAGACTGCTCACATGAACTAAAAAAATATAGATTCTTCTTAACTGGATTTTGAGAATATTTCATTTTACTCATTTCTGTTATTTAGTTCAATCATTACTGTCGTGACTAAACTTTGGTTGCTGTATGACCGTAGTTATCTTTTTGTGTTTTATATATTACGCTCTCTACGTTTCAGAAAACTCTTAGATATCAATTTTCCTCTTGAAACACGTCTGGTTAGTGGTCTGCTGAAAATGATTGCTGATAAGATGAAAGCGGAATTTGTATTACCTGGTAATGTACTTGAAGATTTCGTTGCATATTTCCGTAACAAGCATAGCAGATCACGCCTTAAAGAAGTATAGAATGAGTGTGTTGCAATACATAGCTCGTACCTCTTTATTTGCAGCATTCGTTACTCAATTTTCTCTCACTCATCAGAAAACTTCATTTCATAAATTTAATTTAGAAAGCTGTGTATAGTTATAAATTTTATGTTGCTGAACAGATCATTTTGTTTCTATTATTGTCACTGAGAAAGCTGTTAGCTCAAAATTATTATCGCTCTTAATATTTTGGTTGATATTTTTAATTCACTGCTGCATTCTGAAAACCTTGTCTTCATCTTCAAGTAATCTTATAGTTGGTGAAGTGTTGATATCATCCTCTTGTTGTTCGCGATCTCATTTTTAATTTCATATTTTGCAACACGTTCTGAATTCTGTGAAATTTTGCTTCTTATCTTCATAATTTTTTGTGTAACATTCAATAGATTCTTTTGTTCAATGTTCTCAAATATCGCCTATTACCTTGCAGTGAAAATAATATTTTGGTCTGTTTTTGGTTGTTTCAGAACACAGTAATCTAAGTTTCAAATGGCACGAACATAAGGGGTTCTCTATATTATTGGTTTTGAATTTGCTACAGATGCGTTCAACATTTATGGCAAATCGTGCTGAATACTTCTTTCTTACTGAGTACTTCTTTCGCAGTAAACTCGTTGGTGAGAGACGTAATTATAATATCATTTTTTATGCTTAAGATAGTGTACTTGACTTCATTTTGAAGAGGTCAGGTTAGCATACAAATTTGTTAGGAAATTTTGGCTAGTCTTATGTGGCACTGTATAACAAGGATGTATTGCTTAGAAATGATTCATTGGACTCAGAGTTTTCATCTGTGGCTGGTTGTGCGAGCTATTTTGTAAATTATTGTTCTATCTGAAGCTATTATTAAATTAAATGATGATTATTCCAAACAGAAAGATTAGAGTTGTGTGAGAAGTCAATGTTTAAAAGTCGCGCAAAGAATTCAGTGATTAAGTTTTTCGATTATAACCTATAGTTTTAATATAGATTGATTTGTTGGATAGAGAAATATATTTTTTTCGAAGACAAATTCGAAATGAAGTCTCAGACGCCGAGGACGTCATCTAGTGGAGGGGAAGATTCTAGACTAGTATGGTATTTCAACACTTTGAATATTGTTCTCTTCAATTTGTGTCGTTTTGTTTGTTTTGATAATGGCTCAAGTATGGAAAAAGTAACTTATTGTTTTGTTATCTGTTCAAACTATACTTTGATAAAAATGAAAATCACCTACTAGGTACCGAAAACAGAGGACCTAACCATGGTACCTGATCAAATAGCTGTTGACCAAAAAACTGAAATTATTCCAGAAGAGTTTGAATTTGAAATTGGAGAAGACACTGCGGAGGTTGTTCTTTTGCTTACCGCACACGATTTGGGAATTAATTAAGGCTCTTGTTACTATCGGCCTATATTTAGTAATACTTCGACTAAGTGTTCTACTACAATCGATTACAGAAAGCAGCAATAATTGTAGCAGTTATGTGATTGCAACAGAAGATATTTTTTGTAGTCAGAATACAGGCTTTGGCCATTTCATCGAATATGTTACTTATGGGCATTAGAAGAGATCTCGTCATAGTAATACTGCAATGGACAACTATGAGTTTTAGGAACAAAGATGATTATGCAGTTCATTCAAAGATATCAAAGCAATAACAGTACCAGTTGATTCAGTTGATTCTAGTTTAGTAGTAGTTCCCTACACTATGTGGGGATTAGCTTGCATTTAGTTTGCTAAATTTTTAATTTGCGAAAATTAATTAACATGCATTGTAGAGACTGTTGGCCGTGGAAACAATGTTTTTTGCAAAATATGATAGTTCAGACATTCCCAGCACAAGTCATACGTCAATTTCTTTACTTCATACTCACGTGCTTTTGCATGTCTATTTTTTTGGCTGGGCATTTCTGTAATAATAACAAAAATAATTTGTAGTTATCAGATGTGAGCGAAGTTGAACGGTATGCATCAAAATCCTCTGCAAGCAAATCCTCCAGTGCATTATCAACGTGGATATATGTTAGTTTTTTGAAAGCATTATAAAATAAAAAAGTTAAAGGAAAATTCATGTAAAATAAACTTCAAATAAAAAATTCAACGTGAAAATTGCAATTTATGCATTATGAAACTATTTCAGAAGCATATTTTCACATTTTAAGAGAATATATTTAAATAATTTCTTATTTAAGCAGTTTATTTTAATGTTGCAAAGTTTTACTTAAGAATTTTGGCAAATCAAATTTTGGTTTAGAGAATTTATCCACTGATTAAAAATAAGAAAGTGCGCTATTTAACCTTTATAAATGCTATAGCGTTGCTTATCAGCATGCTATTACTCCTGATACTTTTGATTCTCACGGTGCTGTATATCATTCGCAGCGCTCGGGTAAATTTTTGCTTTCCATGCATTCCAATATTTTGTATTATACTAAGATGGCAAATTTATTCATTAATACATACACTTACGTAGAATCAAGGTGAGAAGTGATTTGGTTTTAAAAGGAAAGTAACCAAATTATAGATCAGAAACAAAAATCAAGCAGATGTAATGTAACTTCTTGATTTCTTGGTTAAGTAACTGAGAATAACACATGACAAGGATAATTAAGTGAAGCTGAATTAATAAGTAATATTTTCTGTTTTCTATATTCTTTTTAGTCATTGAGCTGTAGCAAGTTTTAGTAAAAAATAATTTTAGAGGAGTATGTTGGATTACTTTACAGATTTCTTCCATCATGAAAGGTCAAAAAGTACCGTGTCTATATAAATACGGAGATTGGTCACCATGTACACAGAGCTGTTGGGATGGTTTAAATCCGCTTCCGAAGATGTTTCGCTCAGTTAATAAAAGTTCAGTTGTACAGTCACGTGGAGGTGAAGAACCACTATGTCCCCCAGACTTATTGGTTCAAGTAGATATTGCACCTTGCAATACCCATCTGTAATTATTATCATTTTATTCCAAATTAAACTTGATAATTCGTAGAAACACATTATATGAAACTAATTAACCTTATGAAGTCGAAAAAACAATGATTATTCCTCACTATATTTAATCAGTTATTATTTCTTTTGCACATTATTAATCGAACTTTCTTAAATTTTAAAGAGCAAAGTAACTTTTGCAGATGCCCTACTCCGTTATCAAGTTATGACTTCACTTCTTGCTATTATAAAGATGCCGTAAAAGAAAAAGAAGGTGGATGCTACAAAATTCGCAATGTGACACTGGATAATCGCTTGATCAATATTGATACTGAACTCGTAGAAGATTGCTCTGATAAGGAATGTGATAGCGTATTAGACTTGATCTAGCCCATTTCATTTTGCAAGCAAAAGTAAATTTGTATGGGAATAGATCTGCAAACATTTCTCTTCCAACTTTAATTATTTTCGATTTGATCAACACTTCCCTTCATCAGTTGTTTCCTTGTAATTATTTAAGTCTAAGAAATGTGAATTTTGCTTTTATTACTTATCAAAATCAGAGACGGTCAAGTCAAGAACTGAATAAAAATTAAATTATTCGGTGGTCAGTTGAGTAGTGAAAGATTCAGTACTTTTAATCTGCTTTGCTTGAAATTTCAATAAAACTACTCCTTCAGACTCACTTGTGATTTTAAACCTTTCATAGAATACATTTTCGATCAAAATATTTCACAGTATGGTGTAATTGAAACAGAATCTGCAAATACTGAATTTGCTTCACTAAATTTTGTATTAGATTTAAGAAGTCAGTCATTCAATTTCAGCGTGAAGTGAGTGAACATTTTTTCTGTCATCAAATTTTCTATTAATTATTGATTTTAAATAAATATACATAGTTCTTAATATAGTACGAAAATGGCAGTAAGTTGCATCTATGTCTAAAGATTAAAATCAAGTCTGTTACTGAACGCCTAGATTTGATGGATGAAAGTCAAATAAATGTAAATTATAAAATAAGATGATTAAAGGTTATAGTACTGAAAATTTGCATGATTGCATACTATTCTGTAACAGAGCGCCAAATGCAAATAAAGTATTTACTTCTATAAGCTGCGTTTACTACCATACTTATTTCCAAAGAACTGTAGTTAAACTTCGTGGGCAGTTGAATCGTTTGCTTTCGCATCGAAGAACTCAGGTAACTGCCATACGTCACTAATGTCATTCTGGGAGTTGCCATTCTTTTCAGCAGTTGATTCCGAAAAATTCAATATCCTGCATTTTACCAACGCTCAAATCTGGGATCCATATATATATATATATCGATAATTACAGAGAATGTTTTGCTAACTGTATTTCTAAACTTTTAGATACTTATAGTACAAGTAAACAAAAGACCATCAGATTATCATCCATACTCGCGCAAGTAACAAATGCATTTGTTTAAGTCAAGTCATGTCGAAGAACAGGTCGATGCCAATTCCATATCTGACGAACTCAGATACATTTATTAGACTTCTAAGCAGAATTTTTCCTTCAAAGCCCATTCATGACAATGAAACTGTGCATTCAACATTGGTAAGTCTGTAGTGTTCACTAACATTGAGGAACTATAAGCCGAAAGCATAATTATTCTAAACTTTTACATCCAAATCTGAACAAACGTTATGGCTTATTTCATTGAACATTCGATACTAAATGTTAATTAATTTCAAATAAATGCGATGATTTATTTCAAATGTAAAGTGATGATAAAAATCCCTTCTTATCATATCACTAACACCAACACCATACTGCCATTATTATGTTTCAATTATTATCACTATTACCACAAATAAATAATAATTATGGCCATCAATTTAAAAGCAAATTGTAATTCATCCCTGAACAAGCAACAATTGTACTCTGTTACTGTTCCGCACAGCATCAATAGTAATAATAGTAATATTAATAATAATAAGTAATATAATGAATAAATAATAATTATAACCATTACAATAATACTAAGTAAAGGTTATTTATTGCCATTATTAGTATTAAAAAACTGCCATATTATATTGCTATAAAGATATCAAGAAATTAAGATTAGTTATTTGCGCATCACGACATATTGCAACAACAAATAAATGAGTGTGAATAAACAGTAACAGACAGTATACACAGTATGTAAACAGTATACAGCACAGTGTGTAAACAGTATTCAACAGTATGGAAATCTGAAGCATTTTAGCTTTATGAATAACAGCAAAGGAAATTATTAATTATTATTCACTATGAAATGGCTGTAAGACACTAGCAATTTTACCTCTTCATATTCGGCTCTAAATATATTGATGATCTAAGCAGCAAAGTATACAGCATTGATTTAAGACTGCAATTCTTAGGACGATACAACACAACAAAATAAATCATTTGATTCCGTGGTTGTTCCATCGGAAACCCATATCAATCTCGCAAGTGAACAAACTGTCGAGAAGTTTGAAATTATTGCTGGATCAGATACTGAAAAAGTATGCATTGATTGCCGATTGATTGACTTAAATAAAATTGTAATATTATCAAAAATTATGAATAATAATTTCGAATGATTAGTTGCAACTAGTAATGCAACGAATCAAAAATTGTTTGAAAGGGTAGTGAGCTTGTTCTCAATGATTTTCTTTTGCTACAGCAAATTTGTCTAAGTAAATCACGAATTGGTTCTCATAAATCTAATCAAGTAATTATGTAGCCAAATCAGTGATAAGACCATTGAATATCGTAATCGATCTAGTCAAATATTTCTTGCAGATATCAGATTTGAGTGACGAAGATAACAAATTAACTACTAAATCATCAAAATTTGCTCTAACATTGTTAATTCAAGTATGTCCTTAAGTTACGTTCAATCGCATAAGATCTCCAAGTACTAAAATTTATCTATCAGTAAAAATTATCAGTCTAAAATGTATCAGTCTTTTTAATTATTATCTTTTCATTAGCAAATAATGATTATTTGATTAGTCAATTAGTCCATTTATAAAAAATGGAAAAATTCGTATGCTGTCATTGGGCAATTTCGGATTAATTATAATAAATATAACGCTGTTCATCACCCTTATCGTGTTTTCATTTTGGTATATTGGCCTTGAAATTCAGGTCAGTGCTATAATTTGTTACTTTCAAATACATTTGCTCTAGCAAAATGTTTGAGATTCCTTCATGAACTTTAATTATTACTTCACAAGAGTATTCTGCTCTATCATCATAAATATAGCACAGTGATCAACACTTTTGCACAGTTTTGTATGCTTTAATAAATTTCAAATTGAGACTTTAAGTATGCTAACAAACCTATATTCACTTTTAATGCACGCATTTTGTACAAAGAAAAAACGTGAGAGTTAATTTTTTTCTTATAGATGGTTAATGGCTGCAATTACAGTTGTTATTTACAGTTACAGTTAACCTATAAGTTTGCAAAATGCAATAGAACAGATTTTGCAAAAAAAAAAAAAAA